CACTCCCCCTTCTTAAAACAATAGCAACAGGTTTCATTGTTTCATTTTCATAAACGCCAATAAACTACTTTGACCATACTCATCTTAATTCACCCTTTCTGTTAGCTCTTCTTCCTCCCACTGGTGTCCACACCATCAGGTCCTGTTTCATTTTCCTATTATTCATTTTCTTACTTTCTTTTCAGTGTGCATTTCACCAAAGGTTTCACTGTGGCATTTCAATTGTGTATAAATTATGTTTTGCTCAAAATAGTCCTCTCTGTTGCTATGTTTGTTTTTTTGCTTATTTTCTAAAAAGTGTTTTAGAGGGAGAAAAGAAAATCAAATCCAGATTGTCTAATCATATTCACACCTCCTTTCTTCCTCTCCTCTTCCCTCCCTCCCTCATCCTCGGGTTTGAACTCAGGGCCTGAGTACTGTTCCTGAACTTCTTTTGCTCAAGACGAGCACTTTGCCACTTGAACCACAGCTCTACTTTTGGCTTTTTGGTAGTTTATTGGTAGTTTATCTCATGGACCTTCCTGCCCAGACTGGCTTTGAACCACAATCATCAAATCTCAGCCTCCTGAGTAGCTAGTATTACAGTTGTGAGCTACTAGTGCTGAGGTCATTCTTTACATTAAAAAAAAAAAAGATCTTCATGTTGTTACCCACAGGCTAATACATTTCAACCAAGCCACTACTGTAATTGTATAGTAGGCTGTCTGTCATATTTTGTTCCTAGTTTGGTAAATTCATGAAGCTTGTTGATTTTAAACACAAACTTTTTTAACCTTAAGGCTAAAAAGGAGATAGACAAACCAAATGAAAACTGAGGCCCTTGTCAAACTGCTAAATAGTCAAGTTTTTATAAGTTCTTTGTATTTTACAACAGTGTGTTAATTTATAAGAGCTTTTTTAGAAAGGGGTAACAAGTTCAAGAATTGTACTCACTGCCTTACATATGTAACTGTAGCCCCTCTGTACATCACCTTGACAATTAGTAATAATAATAATAGCTTTCATCTATACTGGGCATGGTCCTTGATAAGATACTGAATTTAATATGAGAAATAGAATTTCTATGCTGGATAAGGAAATTGTCAGGTAACATGACTCATCTTGAGTCATCTTAAATTGCCCAGTATGGTACTTAACACACAAAAACTGCTCAGTGAATACTTTTTTGAGAGCTAATGTCCTTTGAAAGCATTATCTGCATGGATTCTTATTACCTGTAGGTGGGAGGAACTTTTTAAGGAAGCGTGGCACCCTACTAAAATAACAGTTGAATTTTGAAAGTTGTTTTAAAATACAAGAATCGAACGCTATTTTAAGATGAATAATCTAGAAATGTAGGTATCAGTCAAAATCAAGAATTATTCTAATAATGTACTTGCATTTGGGTAACCTGTTTCATTTAGACATACTCTATTAAGAAATTAGCTAAGAATTTCCAGTTTTGTTTGGGTTCCTTTGATAGTTTTTGTGTTTTTGTTCTTTTGTTTATTTCGTTTTGAGTCAGGGTCTCACTAGATAACCCTGGCTGAGCTCCACCTCATGATCCTCCTGCCTCAGCCACTTGTACTATATTCAAATGCCTGGTTTCTTTTTTTTTCTTTTATTTCCTTTTAAGAAGTTGTACAAAGGAGTTGCCATTTAACAAAACAGTTTACTATTACAATATATCTTGATCAGTGTCACCCCATTCAGCATGCTCACCCATCCCTCTCTTACACTGGATTCTTGACTGCATTTTCCTCCTCTTCTCCTCTTCCTTTATCTACCTCTTCCCTCTTTACTCCACCCCATCACTTTTGAGTACCTGCTTCCTGGTGTATTTTGCTGCACTTTGGTTTTATTGGCAAGGTGAGAAAACAGAGAAGCCACATTTTGAGAGGTCGAATTAGGAGGGTATTAGAAGGCAAGTGACCACAGGCAGATTCTTGTTGCAAAAATCTGAAGCCCTGAGAATATACTTACCACTGTCAGAAAACTGAGCATGAGAGCTGGAAAGGGGAGAAGAAGCAGAAAAACAATATCGACATACCAGATCAGTTCCAGTGGAGAGCTGAAGCAGAATGCCATGGTGACTGGAGAAGAGACAGGACACAGACACACCTGTGCCATAAGAGCTTTCCATTTCTTTACAAATGGTACAATAGCATTCTTTCTAATGGATGAATCATCCATTGAGGGCCATCTGTGCTGATTCCATACCTTGGCTATGCTGCAATAAGCATGGCTCTATTGGTGGGTTTACTGTATTCTAATCTTTTGGGTAAATGCCCAGGAGTGGAATTGCTGGATCATAGGGTAGTTCATGTTTATTTTTTGAGGAACCTCTACACTGTTTCCCAGAGTGGTTGAACAAGTTTACATTCCCACCAGCAGTATATCAGGGTTCCTCTTGGCCTCATCCTCACCAGCATCTGTTATTGTTTGTTTTCTTGATAATAGACATTCTAACTGGCTGAGATGGAATCTTTATTGTTTTGATTTGCATTTCCTTTATGGCCAGAGATGTTGAACATGTCTTTCTGTGTTTATTGTCCATTTTTACTTCTGAGAAACATTAGGGCTCTTGGGCACAGGTAGGAATTTTCTGAGTAAAGATCCAGAAGCACAGCAAATCAAAGAAAGACTTGATAAGTAGGACTGCATCAAACTGAAAAGTTTCTGATTGCAAAGGATATAACCAAGAAGCTAAAAAGACAGCCTACAAAATGGGAGAAGATTTTTCCAGCTACACATCAAACAATACCTAATATCCAGTGAACTTAAAAAGTAAACCCTCAAAAAACCAACAACCAAGCTGGGTGCCAGTAGCTAACACCTATAATCCTAGCTACTCAGGAGGCTGAATATGAGGATCACAGTTCAAAGCCAGCCCAGGCAGGAAAGTCTGTGAGACTCTATCTCCAATTAACTACCAGAAAACCAGAAGTAGTGCTGTGGCTCAAAGTGGTAGAGCACTATCCTTGAGCAAAAAAGCTCAGGGACAGCTCCTAGGTCATGAGTTCAAGCCCCATGGCAAGCATACATACACACACCACCACCACCACCAACGCTGTCCCCCCAACAACCCAATTAATAAATGGGCTCATTTGCTAAGGAGAATCTTCTCTGAAGAAGAAGTAAAAATGATCAATAGACACATCAAATGCCTGGCTTCTAATGCCTTGGGCCATACCTATAACACATGGCCATAAGCTTCAATTTCATCTATAAAGTCAAAAAGAAGTATCATTTAACATTAACATTGGTCTTCAAACTCTTAGACTAGATTGAAAGCTATGAAAATAAACTACCCTTAATACAAAGTAATAATTATGAATCTCTCAAAAATTAACCTAGCTGGTATAGAGAAATTTGAAGTACAACTCTTTTCCATAATTATGTAACTGCAAGCATGAAAATACAAATGTCTTCAGAGAAATCCCTGCCTGGAAAGAGAGCAGGGTTTAGGAAGAGACTGATAATCTTTCATGATGAAAATCTAACATCTGTCATGTTTGTGTACCTAATGTTTATACTAGTGATGTATCTCTATATGTAGGGTCTGGGTAAGAAGCTAGGTATGTGAGGTAAAGATGAACTGGTTGGGTAACTGTTCTGGAAGCCTGGGTGCCACGTCTCACAAGGTAGCACAGATTTAGAGGAGAGCAGCTCCATTGTGTTAACAATCATCTTTCCCTTTTCAAGTCATTTAGCTTCATTGTTCATAAACATCAGAGGAACATGCAAATTAGAACATGCTGAAATGCTTTTATTTGTCCAAAATGTTTTCAAAGAGCTCCCTGCTGCTCAGAAAGAGTCCTAAGCAGCTGGCTTCCCTGAACTGTGGAACAAGCAAAAAGATGTTAAATAAGGATTAAGGGCTTTAGACAGCTAACTAGAAGATGTTAAATGTTTTCCCTAGCTCATTTGTGGGCCTTTTTCTTAATTCCACATGCAAGCTTCCCATGAAATAGCAGCTTCATGGACTTCTGTGTTTTGGGTTATTTTTCTTCTGTCCAGAAGGAAAGATAAGAATTTAATATAATGGAAGATAAGAGCCAGATATAAAGCAGGCTGTGCTAATTTTTGGTTGTCTGCCCATTTATAAGCCCCATTCCCCTCAGGCCCAATCAGCACAAATTGGTGTTAACTAGAATCTTATTTTATGAGTGAAATGGACCTTGAAAATAGGGCTGCTTTTTTTTTTCATTCTGAACCCAACAGTGTCTTGAATATGGATTGCTTTCATTATGTGGCTTATAATCATGAAGTCTGGCAGCCCCCTAGAGCATAAGCCCATGCCAAATGTTTGGCAAATTTCTGAGTAATTCTTTGGTTGTCTTCAGAATAACAGATACCTCAGGGGCAGAGGCTATAGTGAAAACTTCTTTAAAGGTGTATGCATATGAATTTGAATGTTGATTTTGGTTGGATGATCTTTCTTAGGAACTTACCTGATTTGTAGAAGTCTCTTTTATCAATGATAAAATGGACATTTCCTGTGAACAAGAATAAAGGGGGTTCCTTGAAGATGGCTTTAATGAGGAAGAAAACTGAAGCACCTCCTTGAAGCCAAGGGCTTAACTTTGTTAAAAGTCTGGGAAATAAGTGCTTTCCTTGGTTTAAAGTCTTATAAGGCTGACAAGCAGTTTTAGTGTGCGGTGCCATTAGCTCCTCCCTTCCTGTTAGGATTATGTTGTTTAAGCCAACACATCTTCTTTGCTACAATTGTCACTGAGCATCTATTACATGAAGACTATTTGAGGGGCATCAAGAAGGCTTCTTCCAGCAGCACTTGCAAATATACAAAAAGTCGTAGGAATCTCCCTCACAAAGGTTCACTCAATCTTAAGCTCCCTTTGCCAGGGGATCCTTTTGTTGTATTTCTAGAATCTAGAAGAGGCAGAGGGCAGTTGAGATTGTTCTGTGGGGAAACTAAATGTAGCTAGGCCAGAGGTAACACATAGCCATGCATAAGTTGATCTGTTGTGTGGCCTAACACGTATTATTTTCATTTCCAGTTAGAACCTTCGTGACAGAGTTTAAATTAAAGAAAACTTTTTTCAATACTACTGTGGAAAAACATTCAGACCTACATGAAGTAGCAAATGAGATCACCAAAACGGTGAGTTTCCTGAAAAGCCTGTTCATACTAGTCCTTTGGTTCCAAGATAGAGTCATTCAAAGCTGGAAAGTGCTTAGGGTCTCCCATACCCATATTTCCAGGGCTCCTTTCCTTTGTGTTTGGAAAGGAAAATTCATAAAATTAAAAAGCCTTGGAAACAGAAGTAAAGTATTAAGACCTTGTGGTATCCAGAAGTATTTCTTTAGGTGCATCATCACATGCAGTTTTTTCTGTTACGGTGTTTCTTTTCCATATACATAGGTATAACCATGGCTAGATAACCTACACCAAGGAGTGTGGGTAAGAGGAAAGAACCACAAAATCTTAGTGTCCTGTCTGCTGTTAATCTGCAGTGTGAATTTCTCACTGTGCTTGAGGATATTGGGGAAAGTGACCCACTTTTTTTTCCTCAAAGGAATGCTAGAAACTTAACATTAATCCTGATTATCAAGGGCTTAAGAACTCACTGTATAGATTATCTAGGTCCTTTAACTCTGCTCCCTACTCCTTTGCCATTTTTTAGTATGGGATTTGAGATCAGGGCCTCAAACTTGGTAAATACTTACTCTACTTACTCTTCTCAGTGCCTTTTTGCATTGGTTATCTTCAAGGTAGGGTCTCACTTTATGCCCCAGGCTAGCAATCCTATTTGTACTTCTGTTTGTTGGTAGGATGGCAGGCGTACACCATTATGCCCAGCTATTGATTAAGATAGAGCCTTGTAAACTTTTATATTCAGGATGGACTCAGCCCATCATCCCTCAATCTCTGCTTCCCAAGGAGCTAGGCTGTCACAGGGCCAGGCTAGGCTACTCCCTCCCCTCTTTTCCTGGTTTTTGTTATTGTTGTTGTTTGTGTTTGTTTTTTTTTTAATTGGGAAAATGAAAAAAAATTGACAGTCAAAATCAGATAATTCATCTTGTTTTCAACTACTACCCAAGTCAAATATTTGGTGTTCAGAAAATTAAGACTTGCTACTAATTGATTTGGGGTGAGGATGGTATTTGGAAGTTGAACTTAGGGCTTCACACTTGCCACATAGCCACGCCAGATGCCCAGACTAATTGATTTCAAATTTCTATTTTACTTGCTCTTTATAAGTTAGAGTTGGCATATTAGCCATGAATTATGTTCCTAGAGGACTGTGAATTTTATTTGTGTAAGGGACAGTCTAATTTCATTTCTTTATCTATTAAGCTTCTACTCTGTGACAGGGCCCATGCCAGCTAGCTCACTCCCATATGATCTTTGTAGATGACACACTGGCAAGTTCTAGAAGCTACTGATATCACCTAATCTCTACAGAGCAGGTGCACAGTTGGGGAACAGTCTACTAAGTCACCTTTACTACCAATACCTATTGCAAGTTCGAGGACCCCTAAGACCATTCTGTTTCAGTAATTCACCTGAATGATCCACTGATCTTACTGAAAGCTATTATCTGTCATGATTGGCTTTATTGCAGTAAAAAATTACAGGTTAAAATCAGACAAATGGCTGGGTGCTGGTGGCTCACACCTGTAATCCTAGCTACTCAGGAGGCTGAGAGATCTGAGAATTGCAGTTCAGAGCCAGCCTAGGTAGGAAAGCCCATGAAACTCTTATCTCCAATTAACCACCAGAAAACTGGAAGTGGCGCTGTAGCTTAAGTGGTAGAGAGCTAGCCTTGAGCTGAAGAGCTGAGGGACAGCACCCAGGCCAGAGTTCAAGCCCCACGACCTACAAAAAAAAAAAAAGACAAATGAAGATATGCATGGAACTGAGTCCATGATGGTTCTACATGCAGAGCTTCTAGTTGTTCTTTCTCTGTGGAATTATGGACAGTGGTAATGTTTCTCAGCAACAGTGAATGATAATATATGTAACACGTTGCCAACATGGAGCTTACTTGAGTGTTGGTTGGTATCTGAAACCTTTGTTTGGCCTCTGTCACATAGGCAAAGTTGACCACTAATGTGGCTGAGCATGTACTGCTTTATCCAAAACCCCTACAACGTATCACGTTGTTATATTTTATGGCATGGTCTAGGGTCCCTATGCGTTTTTATCAGGCAGAATACTTCAGGGCTTAGAAATTATCTTGCAAGCTGGTGGCTCACGCCTGTAATCCTAGCTACTCAGGAGGCTGAGATCTGAGGATCACGGTTCCAAGCCAGCCAGGGCAGGAACTTCTGTGAGACTCTTTTTATTTTATTTTATTTTTTTGTCAGCTGTGGTGCTTGAACTCTGGGACTGGGTGCTGTCCTGAGCTCTTTAGCTCAAAGCTAGCGCTCTACCACTTGAGCCACAGCTCTACTTCTAGTTTTCTGGTGGTTGATTGAAGATAAGAGTCTCATAGACTTTCCTGCCCGGGCTGGCTTTGAACCATGATCCTCAGATCTCAGCCTCCTGAGTAGCTAGGATTACATGTGTGAGCCACCAGCACTCAGTTCCGTGAGACTCTTTATCTCTAATAAACCACCAGAAGTAGCACTATGGCTCAAGTGGTAGAGTGCAGGCCTTGAGCTGAAGAGCTCAGGGACAGCACCCAGGCCCAGAGTTCAGGCCCCATGACTGACAAAAAATAAAAAATAAAAAAATTATTTTGGGCATAACCTCTCTTTGGGCAAGGTTAAATTCTTTACTGTTTATGTCAACTAGCCCTGTGCCAAATATTGTCATTCCACTACTGCTTCCTCTTGACTACGCTGTATAGCTAGATACTTCCTTCCAAGTTAAAGTTAGTCTATAGGGATTTAGAACCCAATGCAGAGGTATAGTCTCACATTATAAAAAGTGCAGTGACTTGATTGACTTAGTTGTTTTTTGTCTTGTTGGGTTTTTGGGGTTTTTTTTGCCCAGTATTACCATATAACTTATTGGTGATGTGACATACCTTGTCCCAAGAAACAATGAGAAATAAGCAGCAGCTAGGAAACTCACTCATAGAGTCTTTTCCAAGATGTCCTTCCATTCAGCAATACCTGGAAAAGTTAATAATGAAATAAGAATGATGAATCTTTTGCTATTAGACTAAAGCAATGTTGTAAAAAGCCGTTGATAGCATTCTGTGCTTGACTTCATCTTTTGAAGAGTCAGAGAGCTTTGAGACATTGTTTTTGAAGACAGATGGGTCTTCATGGACAAGATATTGAGACCCTCTATGCTCCAAAGAAGAGATCTCTAGCCACAGTGATGGAAGAAAGGATGAGGAAGCAGGCATAATAACTTTATTCTCTGATCACTCTGAGAACACAAAGCAGGCACAGGGAGAAGTAGTTTTTAATTTGCTTTCAACAAAAGGGCCCTTGACCCATGTGATATAATTTCTCAGGGAAAGCCTTTTTGGGGAAGACCTATCTTTGAGTGAGGTCATTGTAGATTATGAGGGGATCTGTGTAGGGCTCAGCAGACCTGGGAGAGCCGGAAGAAGCTGTGCCTTCAGCGAACTTGTTCACTATGCAGCTTCCAAATACACAGTTGCTCCTTGGCATTTTGAAACCCTGCGTCTTAGGAGAGATCTGCTCCTTTGAAGATGTTTTGCATCCTTGGTGCTGTTCTGAACATCATTTCCTGCCAAGATTTCCCCACTAATTTACTCTATCTCTCTTTCCTTTGTACTCAGCAAACAACAAAAAGACATTTAAAAAGAGACATTGGTTCTGTATAAAGCTGCCTGCTGATAACTTGATGGCTGGAAAAATGCCTATTTTATCCTGAAATAAGGAATCAGTTTTTAGTCCAAGGCTTTTGTCTATCAGTTAATGACAGTCCTGTTCTTCTTTGCAGTTAAATGTGTGTTTTTCAACATTACCTGGTTATATCCGATCTACAGTTCATGCTTCTAGGTAAGAAATAGACTTCTATTTGCTTTTGAACCAGCCTGTGGAAGCGGCAGCTGCTCTAACATGGGTGATAAAAACTGGGCTCTATTTTGACTAAACCACTGGGTAATCCAGGACCAAGGTCACTGGACCTTTATGCCCTCATATTCCCTCACTGGAGAATGGCAATGACACTTAATTTCCAAAATCCCTGAGGACTGAATGCCATTTTAGGTTAACTAAAATCTCACAAACTTTTCCCTTAGGGAGTCTAGTATGGTGGTGATCTCAGTGCAAACCATGTTTTCCCTGGCCTCCAACGTGACACTGTTTGACCTGGCTGATGGGATCCAGAAATGTGTCAACTCCTGCAGGTCCTCTGCTGAGGTCTGCCAGCTCTTGGGGTCTCAAAGGAGGATCTTTAGAGGTAAGAGAGGAACTTTCCCTTATAGTCAGGCACAAACCTAAGACATTCAGAAATCAGGCCCAGGAAAGCTCACACAGGAGCTTGTACTTGGAATGATTGTGAAACACAAGGCTTCATGACACACAGGTACACAAGGTTTTTGGTTTTTCTGGTTTTTTTTTTTCAAAAATTTTTATTGTGATTAAGTGGTTACATAATTTCCCAAATTTCACAGTATTGTGGAATAGTGATGCTTAGTTAAAGTCACAAACACATTCTAACTTTCATGGGGCAAATAGTCTATTGTAGTCTATAACATTTATGAGTTCTATGAGCTTTAACAATACAGTTATTTCTTCCACATTGGGTGATATGTACATTTCTTCTTTTTTTGGGGCGGGGGGAGGTCTGGTCGTGGGGCCTGAACTCTGGCCCTGGGTACTGTCCCTCAGCTCTTCAGCTCAAGGCTAGGGCTCTACCACTTGAACCACAGCGCCACTTCTGGCTTTTTTCTTTTTGCTTATGTGGTGCTAAGGAATTGAACCCAGGGCCTCTTGCATGCAAAGCAAGCGCTCTATCACTGAGCCACCTTCCCAGCCCCTGTACATTTCTTTTGTTTTGCATAGCATCAGCTGTTCCCTCTTTCCCACTTGTTCCCTCCCTCCCATCACTGCCATTGAGTTGCTTAGTTTGTTTTGATCAATGTCCAGTGCAGCTGATGGATCCCGCTGTTGTATGTTTTTCCCTGATGCCCTCTAGTTCTGTGTCCTCCTCCTGGTTTCCCTCTGGTGTGCACATACATACCATGTATGTGATCAGCAGCATGGGGTTATTTAGTAGTGATTTGACCAGATGAATGGAAGTCCTTTGTTTCTTAAGTCTTGTTAGTTTTGTCATATCACCTAACATTTTGGATTTAGCATCCACTTATCAGGGAGACCATGTACCGTTTGTCTCTTTGCTCTTGGCTTACCTCGCTCAACATGATTCCTTCTAGCTCCATCCATTTCCCTGCAAATGCCATTATTTTGTCATTTCTAATGGCTGTATAATATTCCATTGTGTATAGATACCACAATTTTTGGATCCATTCGTCTGTGGTGGGGCATCTGGGTTGTTTCCATATCCTAGCTATTGTGAACAGTGCTGTAATAAACACGTGTCCTTGTATATTGGTTCCTGTTGTTCAGGGTAGATGCCTAGAAGTGGTATGACTGGGTTGTAAGGGAGGTCAATCTTTAGCTTTCTGAGGACCCCCCAGACTGCTTTCCAAAGTGGTTGTATAAGTGTACATTCCCACCAGCAGTGTAATAGGTTCCTCTTTCTCCGCATTCCCCTCCAGCATTTGTCATTGGCTGACTTGAGGATGTAGGACATTCTGACTGGGGTAAGGTGGTATCTCAGGGTTGTCTTTATTTGCATTTCCTTCACAATCAGGGATGGTGAAAATTTCCTCATGTGTTTCTTTGTCATTTTTATCTCTTCTTCTGAGAAGTCTCTTTTTAGTTCCCTTGTCCATTTAGTAATTAGGTTTGGGAGGGATTAGTTTCTTGAGTTCCCTGTATATACTGGATATTAACCCCTTGTCTGATATACTGCGGTAAATATTTTTTCCCAGTTAGTTGGTTGTATTTCTAGCTTGGTTGCTATAGCTTTAGCTGTGCATTTGTCAAGTCTCTCTCCAATTTGTTGTGACCCTGGGACTGTTCAGGAAGTTCCTGCCTGTGCCTGTAAGTTCAAGTGTCTCTCCTACTCTGTCCTGCAGTAGTTTCAGAGATTCAGGTTTGATGTTAAGGTCTTTAATCCATTTTGAGTTAATGTTGGTACATGGTGATAAGCTGGGGTCCACTTTTAGTTTTCTGCGTGTGGCCACCCAGTTTTCCCAGCACCAGTAGTTTTAGAGGCTGTGTTTCTTCCACTGTATGTCTTTGGCTCCTTTGTCAACTATCAGCTGACTGTAGGCATGTGGTTTTATTTCTGGATCTTCTATTCCATTGGTCCTTGGGTCTGTTTTTGTGCCAGGACCATGCTGTCTTTGTTATTATGGCTCTAAAGTAGAGTTTGAAGTCCGGCATCAAGGTCCCTCCCATGTTGTCTTTTTTGCCTAGAATTGTTTTGGCTATTCTAGGTCTTTTGTTGTTCCATATGAATTTTTGGACTGTTTTCTGTATTTCAGAAATGTACGTCATTGGGATTTTAATAAGAATTGCATTGAATTTATATATTAATTTTGGCAGTATTATCATTTTCACTATATTAAATCTGCCTATCCAAGAGCATGGAAAGTCTTTCCATTTCCTTGTGTCTTCTGCAATTTCTTTCTTTAACTTTTTATAGTTTTCATTAAATAGTTCTTTTACATCTTTGGTTAGGTTAATTCCTAAATATTTTATTTTGGGGGGTGTATTGTGAATGGGGTTGCTTCCTTTATTTTCCTCTCTGCTTGTACATTGTCAGTGTACAGGAAGGCAACTGATTTTTGTGGGTTGATTTTGTATCCTGATACTTTGCTGAAGTGATTTATAGTTTCTTAAGAGTTTGGGGATGGAGTTTTTGGGATTGTGGAGGTATAGTATCATGTCATTTGCAAAAAGGGATAGTTTAACTTCTTCTTTCCCTATGAGAATCCCTTTAATGTCTTTTTCTTGCCTTATTGCTCTGGCTAAGGGTTGAAGGACTATATTGAAGAGGAGTGGGCATCCTTGCCTTGTTCCTGATTTTAGGAGAATTGGTTGTAGTTTTTCCCCATTAAAGATAATATTGGCTATTGGTCTTTCGTATATGGCTTTTATTGGTTTAAGGAATATTCCTTCTATTCCTATTTTCTCCAGAGCTTTTAACATGAGTGAATGTTGTATTTTATCAAAAACCTTTTCTGCATCTGTGGAGATAATCATGTGATTCTTGACCTTGACTCTGTTGATGTGTTGGATTACATTTATTGATTTATGTATATTAAACCATCCCTGCATCTCTGGGAAGAAGCCTACCTGGTCCTAGTGTATGATTTTTTTATATGTTTTTGGATTCTGTTAGCTAGAATTTTGTTAAGGATCTTTGCATCTGTGTTCATCAAGGAGATTGGTCTGTAGTTCTCTTTTTTTGTTGAGTCTTTGCCTGGTTTGGGGATGAGTGTGATACTGGCATCGTAGAATGAGTTTGGGATAGCTCCCTCTTTCTCTGTTTCTCTAAAGAGCTTGAGAAGTATGGGTATTAGTTCTTCTTTAAAGGTCTTATACAGTTCTGTTGTGAATCCATCTGGTCCTGGGCTTTTTCTTGTTGGAAGACTTCTGATTGCTTCCTGTGTCTCGTTGTAAGATATTGCCATACTTAATTGATTTACTTCTTCTTTGCTCAGTTTGGGCAACTTGTTTTTCTCTAAAAATGCATCTATTTCTGCTAGGTTTTCTTTTTTTAGAGTATAACTTTTGAAAATAGTTCTTTATAATTGTTTGGATATCTTGGGTATTTGTTGTGATTTTTTTCATGGCATCCCTGATCTTGTTAATTTGGGTTTCCTCTCTTCCTTTCATAATTAATCTTGCCACAAGTCTATCAATTTTATTTTTTCAAAGAACCAGCTTTTTATTTTATTAATTTTATTTATAATTTTCTTTATCTCTTTAATTTCCGCTCTTAATTTGATTATCTGGCTCCGTCTAGTAACTTTAGGTTCCATTTTTTCATGTTTTTCTAGCTGTTTTAATTGCAACATGAGATTATTTACTTGGTCTGTCTCTATTTCTTTATGTGGGCACTGAGGGCAATAAATTTGTCCCTCAGGACTGCTTTTGCTGTGTCCCACAAGTTTCTTTGTGATGTGTCTTCATTTTCATTGAATTGTAGGAACTTTTTAATTTCTTCTCTAATTTCTTCTGTTACCCAGGTGTTGCTTAGAAGTGTGCTGTTCAATTTCTATGTATTTGAGTGATTTCTGCAGTACGTTTGTTATTGAGAATTAGCTTGATTCCATTGTGGTCGGATAGGATACAGGGGATTATGTCAGCCCCCTTGTATTTGCTTAAGTTCCTTGCATGAACTATGCTATGGTCTATTTTGGAGAAAGTTCCATGAGCTGCTGAGAAGAATGTGTAGTGTGTTGTTTTAGGGTGAGATATTCAGTAAATGTAAGTTAGTTCCACTTGAAGTATGGCCTCACTTAATTCGGTAGCTTCTTTGCCAATCCTCTGGTTGATAGACCTGTCCTTTGGTGAGAGTGGAGTGTTAAAAGTCTCCTAGTATTATTATATTGGGATCTATTTTAATTTGTAAGATTGAGAGTATTTGCTTAACATATTTGGGTGCTCCAATGTTTGGGGAGTATAAGTTGGTAATGGTAATATCCTCCTCTTGGATTTTTCCCTGTATTAATATGTCACACACAGTTTTGTATGCACATGGCCTTGAAGGTACCTGATCCTTGGCTTTCAACTTCTATTTCTTCTAGACAGTAGGGGTAAGAGGAGGGGCTATATGAGCTGATAGAACAAAGAGAAGCTACTCTTGTTTGCTGTGGATACAGGAACTCAAACATGGAGTAGACATGATTCTAAGTGACCCCCAAACCATCATCATGGTTATTACTAAGCAAAATTTTTAAAAAGCATGTGAAGTATTACATTTTTAACTGCCTCAAAAATTATAAAGTCATATAATAAGACTAGAAGAATGTAGGGCAAAATGCTACCATAGGTGTTAATAATGATGAGGGCTTTCCTGTTCTGTTCTTCTTTTTTAATTTGTTTAAAAGTTTTAAATTGTTATTTATAAAAGTGATGTACAGAGGGGTTACAGTTACATAAGTCAAGTAATTAATACACTTCTTTTTAGACAATGTCACCTGTTCTCTGGCTTTCTCCGTTTTTTCCCTCCTATCCGCACCCATAAATTGTATAGCTTCATTTTCAACATATCTGTTGCTTCTTATCAGAAGCTTCTGAGATGCATCTAGGGTAAGGTAAAGGAAGAAGGGGATTAGAGTTAGGAAAGCAGACTTGGATTTTAGGATTGGGGGGCGTTTTACATCTATGGTGGGAAAACTATGCTGGAATCAAAATGATTTTTGCAAAGGGGCCAGTCCCACTTGGAGCATCATAAGTGATGAAAGTGGGTTCATTTTACCACATCACTAGAGCTGGCAAAGGATGTAGAATCTAGTCTAAACCTCCATCTGGTAGCCAGATGCTGGATATAAATTAAAGGTATCAGGTTTTGGCACTCTATCTGGTGGTTGATTAAGGACATTCCAATTGGGTCACGATGTTGTAACTGCTGGTTCACAAAGCTTCCCACATGGGTCAGGATATTGCAGAGCTTCAGTTCTGGGTAGTTAACATTTCACTCCAAGATTAGTGCTGGAGGTCATCTAGTTATTTATTTGAAAAAAATTGGCTAAACTTTTTGCAGTTGAAGGAGCTATCATTTGGGAAATTGGTGTAAAAAAATTCATTGTGCTCAATTACGTTGTGATAAGAACGAGGCTTTTGGGGTTTACTTTCTGATTTCCCTTGCTGAGGCCCCAAGAGTGCCCGGTTTTCCTCCTCAGTGAGGATGCTATCAATTATTTATGGACTACATTCTACATGATCACCGAAATACTTTTTTTTTTGGTCCCCAGCAAATGCTTAGTGCCTTGCAGTTCAAGTGGCTGGATATTTGGATTTATAGAAGTCTATTTATAATGACCCTGTCTATTCTCTTCTTCAGGCTGCTTGGATATAGCTTATAAGAAACTCCTGTGATCATTGCTTCCGTGCTGAGGCCTTCATTCTTTTTTGTTGTTGTTTTTGGGTCTGGTCATGGGCCTGAACTCTGGGCCTAGGCGCTGTCCCTCAGCTCTTCAGCTCAAGGCTAGCGCTCTACCACTTGAGCCACAGCACCACTTCCGGCTTTTTTTTTTCTGGCTTATATGGTGCTAAGGAATCAAACCCAAGGCCTCATGCATGCAAGGCAAGCGCTCTACCACTGAGCCACCTTCCCAGCCCTGAGGCCTTCATTCTTCACTTTTCTTTTTTGAAGAACAAAGACAGCTATGCCTAATGGCTGAAAATGGGCTCACTTTCCTGGTTTTCTATTCATGCCTTCTCCAGGTTTTAACCACCATCCAACTTGGTCTCTTGCAAACTTTTCTAAGTGCAAAATAAGTATACTCTTATTTCTGCACATATGAATATTTTTTTAGTTTATGGGCAGCACTGGGCCACTCTAGATACCTCCATTGGAAAAGAGAGGGTTTTTTTTTCTCTTTTCAGTTCCTTGCCTTTCAAAGAACTGTAGGTCATGGCCTCCAAAAGTTTAGAGACCTTGGAAATCCCCCGTGGACTGTCTCAGCCTTAGATTTACTTAAGTGCTCATTGTCTGTTTTGACGGATGTTATGCCTAGGAAAGACTATGGGAATTGTGAACATAGAAAAATCACATCACTGGGCCTAAAATGAAAATGAGATTATGTGTGGTTCTGTTTGATGGATTTGTGCCAGAATGGTCTTTGAGAATTTTTAAGAAACAACTCATAGCTGAGGTGGGACTTATTCTCCTTGCTTTTGCATGAAGCTGCTCTGTGCAGGGAACTATTGGTTTAGCACAGAAATAAACATTTGCAAGTAGCCTGGATCAATGAGCAGGATAGAAGGAAAACATGTCATTGGCTTCCAGAAAATATCTAATCAGGCCAGCCAGGCCTGGCTCTGGACAGAGCTGTACAGCCTAGAGAGCTTTACTGTCCTAAAAGTATTAAGGCTAAGGGACTATAACAAAGTTTTCAAAGAGTTTATATGAGGAATTGTGAAGGTTCAGTGCCTCTCTAGTGCCAGCTTTACAGTGTTTGCCTGGTGAGATTTTCCATTTTAAATTCTTTCCCCTTTAAATACAAACTTTTTACAATAAACAAAAGAAATTTTATCACACACACAAACGGGGCTCTGGTTTAGCACGTCAGCTTCCACTGATAAAGGCAGGAAATTCAGTGTTGAGAATGGAATTGTGTCCTGCATTTACCTCCCTGCAGCCAGGCTGTCCACCAGCCCTAGCTCTCAGAACTCATAAGAGGGGTTGATGATGGGAATCCTGTGCAGCCTGAGCCCTGTGCCAGCCCCCCTCACTAGAATGTGCCTACGCAAGGGACAGTTGGAATGGTAACATCTGATAGTAGGCTTCTTAATAGGTCGGAGTCTTCTTTAAGGTTTAAGAGGGAAGACTGTGCCTAGAAAACAAGTGGCCATTCTTCATTGCCTTCCCTTTGCAGCTCTCTTCCCAAGTTGATCTAACTTTTGCCTCTTGTACATTTCTGTCTAACTTTGTCCCATATATGGGTGGAGCTGAGTTACTATTCACTATCTACTTGGTTTCATATTTTTGTTCTACTGCCTGTGTACCCCATTTACACATGGTTTTTTGTTGGACCTATCTCAGCAGATAAAATGCACCCTCTTATCTGCTATATAAAACCTTATATAAGATTCATATGCCCAACCATGAATGCTTTTTATGTAAGAATGAAGTGATTCTTCATTATCCATGACTTAATAAGATCCTAAAGTCAATATGGAAGCAGCCTGAATAATCGGCTCCTTGCCTGTTTCTTGGTGGTGTTATGGTGGCTGATAGGCTGATAACATCTTTGCCACATATGTACCTCATGAAAAATCCCAAAGAGCCAAAGAAGAATTAACCTCAAGGAATCATTACTGTAATTGGAGGACATCTAGATAAATATAACTAGACTCCAGCTTTGGGTATGCAGATTATTGCTCATACCTTTCCTTACAATAAGCCTCTTATGTTGCTACTCTACCAGAAGTGATTTTGGCTTCTCTAGGGTAGGAGTGGGGAATTTGTGGCCATAAAATCCTTTGGTACATGGCAGGACAGATGCTTATGCTTCTCATACACTTCTCAGTGGCTGCCCATAGCCATCTGCTTAGGCTGATAATCTTGCATGGTCCATGAATGAAGTTATAAATTTTCAGATGGCCCTTAGCCAAAAAACTGTCCCCCTTAAACTGGGTACTGGTGGCTTATGACTAATCCTTGCTTCTTAAGAAGCTGAGATCTGAGGTTCATAGTTTAACGCTAACCCAAGCAGACAAATCTGAGAGACTCTTATCCAATTAACCAGGAAAAATCTGGAAGTGGAGCTCAGATTCAAGTGGTAGAGCACAAGCTTTGAGCAGAAGAGCTAAACAAGATCTTGAGGCCCTGAATTTAGGCCCCAGAACTGGCATCAAAATAGGGAGGGTGGAATCCCTAATCTTACTAGATCATTCAGACACAGACCAAGACACACTTCACCCGAGGTATTCTGGCCAGTGCTAGTTGGTTTTGGTCCTATCTCAACTAATCTCAACCTAGAAAATGATCTCATTTTTTGAGTTTTCTTTGACTCTTTGGCCTGTACTTCCCTCCCCTCACACAGTCCTTTGGTGTGAAGCAACAGAATACTTCACATTGAGGCCATCATTTGCAATGGGTATCAGAGGAGGGACAGTGTCCTGTTTCTTTCCAGCTTGGTTTCTCCATGGGGAACAGTAGATTTTGTAAATGGTTCTGGGCCTGACACAGGAATAGCAGAAGGCTTTGCAGAGCAGACCTTTGAGAGGAATATGCTTTTCAGAGACCCTGTGGGAAACTCTTTCCAAAGCCTCTTGAAATAGCAGATCAGGCATCTTGAGATGTGAGATAAAGAAGGTTTTGTTTGTTTCATTGTCTTTTTTTTTTTTCATTCCAGCGGGCAGCTTGTGCAAGCGGAAGAGTCCAGAATGTGACAAAGAGACCTCCATCTGCACTGACCTGGATGGCATTGCCCTGTGCCAGTGCAAGTCAGGCTACTTCCAGTTTAATAAGATGGATCATTCCTGCCGAGGTACAGACAGGTTCACCCATCATTCTGAGCCCTATTCCAGGACAGAGGTGCTTCTATCTACTTGGTATACACATATTCTCTCTCTCTCTCTCTCTCTCTCTCTCTCTCTGTCTCCCGCCCTCCCTCTCTCCTTCCCTTCTCCCCCCCTTTCTGTTCTGGGTGTATTCTTCTAAACTAAGAGTGACTATTCTTGTTATTTTGCTCACAGAAGAATAGGTTATCTCCTTGAAATAATACTATTATTTCTGTCTGGTACATGCTAGCTTGTCCAATCTGATTTGAAAGGGGAAAAAAAAGAATGGAATGCTTATGTTAATACCTTTTCTTATTTTCACTTGGAGAAAGTTAGAAAAAATATTGTTGTATTTCCCAGAGATTTATCTGTTGCCTGCTAATCTTTTAAGTTGGGAAGACAAGCATGGAGTCTGGCCTGGATCTTTAGGGTTAGCTGTGGCTCAGTAGTCAGTGTACTTAGCTAAAGCTCAGAGGACCTGAGTCAGAGCTCAACCCTGCCTCACTAATCAAATTTCATCTTAGACAAGCATTTCATGTCTCTGAGCCTCAGTTTTCTCTTCTTTAAAGTGAGTGTTAAAGATAGTCATTATATATTTTAAGAATTGAGGGAGGCAATTGTATGGAGGTGCTTAGTAAGCTCTTGTATTTTTTTCAGGTTGTTGTTAAATGAATGTGGTACAGCTTTAAAAGTTTCATAACGTATTTGAGAGCAAGCTGGGCGTGGGTGGGTCACGCCTGTAATCCTAGCTACTCAGGAGGCTGAGATCTGAGGATCGGGTTCAAAGCCAGCCCAGGCAGGAAAGTCTGTGAGACTCTTATCGCCAGTAAACCACCAGAATACCAAAGTGGCACTGTGGCTCAAGCAATAGAGCTCGCTCACCTTGAGCTGAAAAACGCAGGGACAGCACCCAAGCCCAGAGGTCAAGCCCCACGACTGACCAAAAAAAGTATTTGAGAGCAAAAATCTAATTCTACTAACTTTTTGGGTAAGATTTAAATTTATTCCCTTTGAGATAAAGACTGTTCAATGAATGCAGTTCAAGAATATTGCTTTAAAATAAAATTAATTCATGTCCAGACACTCTGTACCCTGCCATTAAGAACTGCTGCCCTTATAATCACAAAAACTGCCAATACATAGGGCTGTTCTTTTATGGAGCTTTAAGATTTATCTCCCATTAGAATGTGGATGGCACAGATTTCCTATTCAGTTAATACCTTGCTGGTGACAGATGTACTGGGATCTGAGTAAAAATCACCTACTGGGGAAGGTGACATGCTGCTTATTTCTGTCAGGACTTCCTATTAGCAGACGCATTCCATCAAAAGAATACAAAACTGTATTTTGGGTCAGTGTTCTTATCTAGAGCTTCAGACCCTCTGACCTTGTTAGGTTTAGATAGAAAGTTATTTTAAAGTGGACATCGGCAGCTCTCCAGGTGAGACCTGTGAGGCATTTTGAAGGAAGGCCTGCCCTCTGAGTTGGGGATTCATCCCAGTACATGACTGGAACACAGCATTTCTCAGTACCATGCCAGGCTGCCGCTTTGCTACAAAGAGATAATGATTCCTAATTCCCTTTTATCTTAATGCTTAATGCAAATGTTCCATGCCCTTCTTAGAATTGAGGATTTGAGCCTGGCTTCATGCAGGAAAGTGATGGCACTAAGATCTGTATTTGTGGGGTGCTGTGCAGATGAGGCCAGAGAATACAAAGCAGACAAGAGTGTAGTTGTGTAGAAGTGCCCCTGTGTGTTTTTCTTTAAGACTGGTCCTAACAAATGGATAGAACTAGAAGAAATCATGTTGAGCGAGGTAAGCCAAGAGCAAAGAGACAAATGGCACATGGTCTCCCTGATAAGTGGATGTTAAGGTGATGTGACAAAGTTAACAAGGCTTAAGAAACAAAGGACTTCCACTCATCTGGTCAAATCACTACTAAATAACCCAATGCTGCTGACCACATATATGGTATATATGTGCACACCGGAGGGAAACCAGGAGGAGGACACAGAACTAGAGGGCATCAGGGAAAAACATACAACAGTGGGATCCATCAGCTGCACTGGACATTGATCAAAACGAACAAAGCAACTCAATGGCAGCAATGGGAGGGAGGGAACAAGTGGGAAAGAGGGAACAGCTGATGCTATGCAAAACAAAAGAAATGTACATACCACCCAATGTGGAAGAAATAACTGTATTGTCAAAGCTCATAGAACTCATAAATGTTATAGACCACAAAAAACAATTTGCCCCATGAAAGTTAGAATGTGTTTGTGACTTTAACTAAGCATCAATATCCCACACTACTGTGAAATTTGAGAAATTATGTAATCAATCACAATAAAGAATAAAAAAAAAAAGAGTGGCCCTAACCACCTGCTTCTGGTTGGCCTAAAACCTCTTCTCTATATTTCCAAGTGAGCAGTTTTCATAATTGAGTCCCTCACATACTAAGTAGCTGTAGTGAAAGTGGCTTACATTTGATTTTGATTTTATATGTAGCTTTGAAAGTCCAGCCAAGACAGTGTACTGATACTTTATGTAAAGCATTAAGAAGTGTGTATATGTTTGTGTATAATACAGCAATATAGAAACTTGCTAATATATAGCTTGGATTGTAGTGATTTAGAAGAAATATACATACACTCTATTTTCTATTTTCACAGAGGATTAGACAAAGGTTATATCTATTTATGTATCTTATCTGCCTATAGAGATATTTTTTAATTTTTTATTTATTTATTTTTTTGTTGGTCATGGGCTTGAACTCTGGGTCTGGGTGCTGTCCCTCATTCTTCAGCTCAAGGCAAGCACTCTACCACTTGAGCCACAGCACCACTTCTAGTCTTCTAGTAGTTTATTGGAGATAAGAGTCTCACAGAGTTTCCTGCCCAGGCTGGCTTTGAACTGTGATCCTCAGATCTCAGCCTCCTGAGTAGCTAGGATTACAGGCGTGAGCCACTGGCTCTGTCTCTATATAGATAGATAAATCTTTATTTCTATATAGATAGATAAATATCTATCTAAAGATATCTCTCTCTCTCTCTCTCTCTCTCTCTCTCTCTATATATATATATATATATATATACTCTAACAATACTATGCTTTCCAACTAGTTATCCAAGAAGTAATGTAATAGCTTGAATAGCTTTTGTCTTGTCACTAAGGCCCCATGAAACTCCTCAGTAAGTAGTACGAGTGGCCATCAGGCCTCCAGAGATTGAATTTTGGAGCTTCATAGGCCACAGCCCTGTCAGCTAGATTCTCGTAGGTTAGTGGTGACATCTTCTGGTCATTGGTGCTGGAGCATAGGCATGTTTAAAATTCAAATAGGTGCCTCTCCTGTAGGCTTCTTAGCTTCTTTCCATTCTTTCCATCATGTAGGCTTCATGAACCACAAAGTGGGAAGAAAACTACCAGGACACAAATATAAATTCTAAAAAATCTGTTTGCATTTTATCAGACTATAAGTGCCCTAAGAGCCAAAACCATGTCTAGAATAGTCCTTATCCTATTGTGGGGCTCAGATGTCTGTTAAATGAACACAGATGATAGGGCAGCAAATTTGGTAGGAAGAGATCAGCACCTCTTGATTTAGTTTGCTGCAAGGATCAAAAGAATCATTAAAACTCCACCTTTTTTTTTCTTTCTCTTTTTCAAGTCCATAAGGCTTGAATTTGCTTCTTTCTCATAGCAGTGAGAGAAGCCCAGTTGGGGTATAATTGGTTCATCTTTAGTGCTCTGTAGTCAGTCCCTCTTGAGTATGCAGTGAGAGGCTGGCCCTAATGAGTACCTGAGCTTCTTGGTAGGGCTTCCCCTAAGAGCCATCAGGACAGCTCTAAGCATGCAGTAGCACTCTATTGAAGTAGCATACAATCTTTGAAGAATGACTAAATGAGCCTTTGTGTGTGGGGGTGTGTGTGAGTGTGTGTCCTGGGGCTTGAATTCTAGTCCGTGAGCTGCTTTTGCTGAAGGCTAGCACTCTACCACTTGAGCTCCAACTCCACTTCTGGCATTTTAAAAGTAGTTTATTGGTGATCAGAGTCTCATGGACTTTGCGATCTGGGCTGGTTTTGAACCACAATCCTCATATCTTAGTTTCTTGAGTAGCTAGGATTACAGATGTGAACTCCAGTGCACTAGCCTTGACCAGAAAAGCTAAGGGACAGAGCCTAGGCCCTAAATTCAAGCTCTGTGATCAATTAAAAAAAATTCCAGGAGGCTGGGAAGGTAGCTCAGTGGTAGCATGCTTGCCTTGCGTGCATGAGGCCCTGGGTTTGATTCCTCAGCTCCACATAAGCAGAAAAAGCCGGAAGTGGTGCTGTGGCTCAAGTGGTAGAGCGCTAGCCTTGAGATGAAGACCTGAAAGACAGTGCCCAGGCCCAGAGTTTAGGCCCCATGACCGATCCCCTCCCGCCACAAAAAAAAAAATTCCAGGAAAGAAATGTGTTCAGAATAGAATGAGATTAGTGTGACAGGGTCTGCTTTAGTGCTGAGATGGGTGGGGAAGTGAGCATTCCCCAAGTAGCCTGAAATCTGAGCCCTGGATCACCTGTCCCTAGGTAGCTTCCTTCATTCCCATAACCCTGAGTATTATAACATGATACAGAGACACAAACTGGGAAGGAGCCTGCCAAGCACAATGCTTTTTGTACTGGCCAATAAAAGGCAGATTTCCTCAGCTCATTCTTTAGAGAAGCCCAACTCTAGTAAGGCCCAGAAGAAAATTTAAGGTATCAGAGATTGGAGATGGGGCCTCATTATCACATTTCTAAATGGGATATGATTATTGTCCATCTTTTTGCATAAAAGATTTGAAATGCCTAATGAGAATTCTTATAAGATGTTATGCATTTTATTAGAATACAAAAAATGTATTTCAATCCATATCACACCATCAGTCACTTTCCCTTATCCTTTTACTATTAATAATGTTAAGTTTTTATTGTATTTTATTTTCATACATAAAAATCTGCTTGGACCACATTTTCCTCTGCTAGTTAACTAGCACAACCTCCTTCTACTATTATGCACCCAACCTAACAGAGTTGGTCTCTCTTTCCCTCATCTTTTTATTGATCACAGTTTTCATTGAGGTTCTTTAAAGTAAGATTTTTTTATTTTATTTATTTATTTATTTATGTCGGTGGGGGGGGCTTGAACTCTGGGCCTGGCTCTGTCCCTCAGCTCTTCAGTTCAAGGCTAGCAGTCTACCACTTGAGCAACAGTGCCATTTCTGGTTTTCTGGTGGGTAATTGGAGTCTCACAGACTTTCCTTGTCCGGGCTGGCTTTGAACTGTGATCCTCAGATCTCAAGCTCCCGAGTAGCTAGAATTACAGCCACTGGCACCTGGCTTTTAAAGTAAGATTTTTAAATATTTGAAAGATAAATTAGACTGAGGAGAGATTAACTACTTTGTGGAGTCCAGAATGATAGTGAAAATGAAGGAAGATAAACCATATGTTTGCTAAAGATAGTTACTCATTCAGGTTCTGAATTCCTGGACAATAAATCAAAAATAAGGAACATAATTTTGAAGAATGAAGGTTCATAATGTAAAGTATAGCTAGTTGTTCAGGAGAATCTCCATCCTTTTAGGCACTGGAGCCTGCAAGAAATTTCTTTGGGCATCATGGTTCCTAAGAGGCATTGCCACATCTATGACATCCTGCAATAAGTGCCATAGAGATTTCCCAAGTCTGCTTCTTATAATAAACTGCCCTTCGTACATGAGAAGGTAGCTTAGAAAGGGTGATTCTAGGATCTCAAACATTGCAGTTCAGTTTCACAGCCCTTTAATGATCTGCCATGAGATAAATTACAGGTTATTATATATTTGTATGTTGTTTTTTGTTTTTGTCAGTCATGGTGCTTGAACTCTGGCCCTGTGTGCTGTCCCTGAGCTCTTCAGCTCAAAGCTAGTGCTCTACCACTTGAGCCACAGCACCACTTCCGGTTTTCTGGTGGTTAATTGGAGATAAGAGTCTCACAGATTTTCCTGCTCAGGCTGGCTTTGAACCACAATCCTCAGAACTCAGCCTGCTAAGTAGCTAGGATTATAGGCATGAGCCACCAAGGCCCAACTTGTATGTTTCTTATTTATTTGGTGGTATTGAAGCTTAAACTCAAGATCTTGTGCTTGCTAGCTCTGATACTTGAGCCATGCTCCTACCCCTTTCAAGCTCTCATTTTTCAGAAAGCGTTTTGTATTTTTGCCTGAGCTTGCCTTGGACCGTGATCCAACTATGGCCACCTCCTGAGTAGTTGAGATAATAGTCTGCACCACCATGCTCAGCTTATTTTATTTTTATTGATAGTACTTAGGTTTGAACTTAGGGCCTTGTGTTTGCTGAACTGCCTCTCTACCACTTGAGGCACACCTCCAGCCCCAATTTTTTGATGGTTGTTTTGTTTTGTTTTTTATTGTAAAAATACTGTACAGAGGGGTTACAGTTACATGGGCAAGATAATGAGT